ATCCTGTAGCATTGGTCTGAATTATAATCATTTGTATTCCATTCACCCCAATATGAATATAGGGGTGTTAGCACTTGATTTTTGCTCGATCCTTCTCTAACCCACATCCTACATCCTGGATGCTTGATTAAACCACGCCAATCTCTTTAAAATGTGCCAAAACCTTGAGAAACATTCCAAATACCCTTAAATCCACCGTTAAATCTACATGATCCCCTTCTGATGGTCACGGTTGTGCCACATCACCATACTTCATCCCCAATTAGACTCCATAATGTGAAACAAAATCTATAAACAACCAATCACACTAATTTCAACTCTGAATTCCATGGTTTAACCATTCATCCATCAAAGATTCAATTTCAACGCATCTTACATTACAACATTTATTGAGCCTAAAACATGTGTTCTATATGTTCTTGACACAATCTAGCCCCTCAACAGCCTCGTAATCTCAATCCATGTCATTGTACCAAATTTCAACTAAAAAACCCCCTATTTGACTTATCATCAAGCCATTATTATGTATTAGCAAATCTCGTTGGTCAAGAGTGTACCAATGATGCATCTCTATCMTTTAAGCCTTATTTGGCCGATCAGACCCCACCATTGTATTCAGAGACCCAAAAAATCCCTAGCACGTCAAATTCCACGTCATAATTCACTCGTTTGACCATTAAACTCGGAATAAGCCATTTTGATGCGCCAAACTGAATCACCGCATCAAAATCATATTTATAATTTAATCAAATTTATGTTTTTTGCCATTGACATCCCCGAATGAGGTGCTGCAATGTCTGGCACGCCCCAAGCTCTCATTGGACGCATGAAATACATAAAAAACCACCCAAACTCGAGGAAAATTGTTGCATAAAGAATTAATGGTCAATTGAAGGCCCTTTCCTTTCAAAAGCTTACCTATTTTGATGAAAAAACTTTGTTGAATCCTAAGCGTTGTAGATGGATAGGTTTCAAACCCATTCCCCCCCTTTTTTCTCTATAAATAGAGGCCTAGCTCGAGCTTGAGGGGGGAGAGAAAAAGAGCATTTTCCCTAGCTCTATAATATTTTCATTTTACTTGAAAACCGAAAAACTTTGAAGTTCAAGCCTTAAATCCGCCTCCCTTGTTTTCAGATTGAAGATCTCTAATTAGAAACATTCCCCTAGCTCAATCACTCATCCAAGCCTTACATTATGTTATTTGAACTAGAAGTCGTGATCTTGTTTTCTTTTAAGTCTTGAGATCATGGGAAATTTGCATTCCCAGTTTCTTCTAAATTGAGAAAAAATATGTTGAGAGGCGATAATCTTAGGGAAATCAGTACATAAGACCCGATAACATCACCTCAAATCAATTTTGGATGAAGTTGAGAGTGTTTTTGCCAGATTTCATGAGCTCTGAGCAATTATTTTCATTGGTGTTTTGTTAAAATTTGAGCACGAATTATTCCTACATGGAGCTGCTACAACAGCTTGGAGGATGGGGTCCAAATTCTTCTCCCAATCCTTATTATCCAAAACTTTGGTTCAGTGCTTTCCTTGGTGAAGGATGGGGTCACTATTGAAACAATAAAATCAAATTTTCTATGTTGAAAATGAAGGCCCATTTCCTTTGAAAAATGGGTGGCAATTCAATTTCTTTGTATCGGCCATGAACTTCATGGAGCTCACAATGGGTATTCACAGTCCAATTTGAAGATCTCAGACCAAATTAATAAATGACGATTTGAGAAATTTTCAAACCGTTTTGATGTGAAAACCAAACTAGATCAAACCATTTTACTATAATTTAATGGGATGATTCCTAGTACGGTTCACTGCAATTTGGAGATCTTAGATGGAACTAGTAAATAACGATCTGAGAAATTTCTATACCAAATTAAACCGCTTTGGTACAGATACCAAACTAGATCAAACCATTTTGTTTCTAATACCGTTTTGGCCATACTAAGATTCCATTGGGCATTGAACATATTTGTGTTTACACACTTTCCAAATGGAGTCTTGAGTTATAGTTAATTGTAATTCAGATTGGGTGTGTAATTGCACACTTTGATCTCCAAAAGAAATCTGACTTGGAAACAAAATTGTATTAGGGGCCCCGAGCATTAGGAAATTACCGTGAGGTTCCTTCAAATTCTCATAGCAATTTAGTTGAGATTACATTTCTTGTGAGTCTGTGACGAGTGTCGCAGGACAACCCAGGACCCCATTGAATTTTGAACACTCCAATGTATAAAATCACATTTTGTCTTTTTCACTAATCACTAGCATGTTTAAAAATCAATGGGGTCTCGGGGTTGTCTTGTGACACCCGTCGCAGGAAATGTGTTCTCCTCAGGGTTTTTACTGGTGGACCCACAACCCTTCACTACTCTTACCTAAACTATGCATTAAGCAAAAGCCTTATTGGTTAGTAACTCAAACTAAATGAATCGTCACCTTGTTAATTCAAATTTCTCAAGCTTATCTGCATATGGAACAGTGAGAATGATCAAAAAAAAAAAGTGAGAATGATAATGAGATTCACCCATGGTTTTGTTTTGTTTTGTTTATCGTGATAGACCCATATATAGCCCAGCCCCTCGATGAAGTAATTGGCTCAATCAATCACCTTGCTAGCCTTAAAAAAAATCAATCACCTTGTTATACGTTACATAATATGAAATGGGCCCAAAGCCTGGATTCGCTGGTATTAACTAGGGTTCAGGCAGGCTTGGGCCACCTTATAGTTAGGGATGTAAAGCATCGGCTTTTTGATTAGATCTTGCTGCTTCCGGTTTGATCCAAGTACTGGATTCAATTGAATTTGAATTAAATCCAACCGTGTTCTTTTGTCATAAAATAAGGCTGCATTTGGTTGCAGTGCAATTTTATTTGCACTAGTACAAATGCGTGAGAGTGCAAATGAAAATGAATGCAAATTTTGGTTTGACTTTGTTTTGGATTTTACTTTATTCTGCTTCATGTCTTAATTTACTTCATTTATATTGCAATCAAATAAAATAAGCTAAAATTTGAAAGAAAAATATATCAGAATTTATAGAGTCTATTGAATAAAGTATGGATACAATATACCTTGTATTGAAAATATATCATCTATCTATATTAAAGCGGGATGGGTACTCACCGTGGCCTGCTTTTAGTGCAAGAAATGGTATCCACACGTGAATTTCTTCGAGTCGTGTGAATATATGATGAAGGTTTGATTTCATATTCACATGTTTACTTTTTTTCTGTTTCTTTCATTTACCTCTCAATCACGTGTGAAGGTATGATGTTGTCTTTTTTTCATCTTTAACCAGTCATGCGAATATATCACAAAACCACGGTCTGATTTCAGCTTCAATCAGGGCAAGTCTGTGCTTAGTGATAGTAGCAACTTCCTCACTGGAGCATACTTGTCTCGATGAGTACCAACAGATACGAGTACCTACATCAAAACGGCGGATGACGACTGGATCTCATATCTGAGTATTTCTCTTATCTCATATTTGGGTTCTTTACAGATCTGAGAGATACTCAGATTTCGATTCCTTATGGGAGTTGGGCTTGCCAAATCTGAGAGATATTTAGATATGTGTTCATTCTGGGATCTAGGCTTGCCGAGGGAGTAGAGGAGATGTGTGAGTTGCCAAGAGTAGGCTTACGATGCACGACAAAGGTGCGAGATTTTCCCCATGCCAAAACCAATGGAGGACAAAGAAATAATTCCCTCCATAGAGAAATGGTGAGCGGTAGACCTGTTCATGGGCCGGGTGGCCTGACGCCGGACGGGCTTGAATATGTTTATAGGCCCGTGGGCTTAAATTTGGGCCAAAAATCCCAACCCACAATAAATTCGAGCTGGGCTCGGGTTTTGTCAAAATAGCCCGGCCTGGCCCGACCTAAAATTAGACTTAAAATGGATTATGTGATTTTGTTCATTTGAATACATTTTTTGATTTAAGAATGTAAAACTATGTTTTAAAACGTAAAATAAAGGGAAAAAAACCATCTTATAGGCCCATTGTTCATTTAAATAGGAAAAAAAACCATTTGAATTTTTAATTCTAATTTGAATAGGAAAAATTGTAATTTTTTTTATTAGGTCGGGCTTCGGGCTTTTTATCAGGGCCAAGCTCGGGCCCATTGATCGGGCCGGGCTCGGGCCTAACGTATTTCCATTAATGATGAGTAAAAGCCCAACCCGGCCCGACCCATGAATAAATCTAGTGAGCGGTTTACTTGTGGGTTCCAATGCGACCACATAGTAGTCAACATCAGCCGAGTCACCAAGATCAGCATCGACTAGGCTGGGTACACTAGTTCCCTCTCTCCCTCCGCCTGGAAATCCCTGTGGGTTTCGTTGTTGCAAATCATTGTTCTCCCTTGCATCCAAAACCTATAGTCTCGTGTCTCGTCTTGATGGTGTCAAGAGGCATTGTGATCAACATTGAGATGTGGAGTTCCATAGATGTGCTCACCCCCTAAATTGCCACCACTGTCTTCATATTCGATTGGAAGATGCCAACATTTGCTACTCTTCCACACCATGCCGTATATCGACATGAGAGTGAAGTATGTGCAGATGGTGGTGAGACAATTGGCAGTGACTACAATGGGCTAAGGTCATTTCAGCGTGGTGAGACAAACAGCGCCAAAAGGGGAGAGAGAATGAAGGGGCCGGAGGTGGATGGGGCAATCGCCGCCGCTAGTTAAGAACCAACTTAGTTTTGTCACTGTTGAAAGGAAGAAGACGATAAGGGTAAAATTGAATTTACATGTAAACAAATTTTGATAAGGGTAGTAGAGTTAGTCAATTGTCATATACGTTATTCGTTAGATAATATTCAAACAATATATTTATTCAATTAACTAAATCAGGGTAATTTAAGAAATTTATCAAAAAAATTCCTAACAATGTACTTAATGAAAATTTTGGAGGGCAAAATGGTCAAAGTATCAAAACCCTAGTTCTCGTCTCATTCCATCTGCTCGTATTTATTCCACTTCGCGCCGCTCAACTCCCTAATCGGGAGAGAAAAGAGAGACAGTAGTCTCGTCGCCGGATTATTTTCCAGTAGGGAGACAGAGCAGCCATGAAATACAACCCGCGTGTCTCGAGCTCCCGGCGCAAGTGCCGAAAGGCGCACTTCACCGCCCCGTCTAGCGTGCGGCGGGTTCTGATGAGCTCCCCATTATCGGCCGACCTGAGGAACAAGTACAGCGTGCGGTCCGTGCCGGTGAGGAAGGACGACGAAGTGCTGGTGGTTCGCGGAACCTACAAGGGCCGGGAAGGCAAGGTGGTTCAGGTGTACCGTCGCAAATGGGTCATCCACATCGAGCGCATCACGCGAGAGAAGGTTAATGGGTCCACCGTTAACGTTGGCATCAACCCCTCCAAGGTCGTCATCACCAAGCTCAAGCTCGACAAGGATCGGAAGTCCCTACTCGATCGTAAGGCTAAGGGCCGCGCTGCCGATAAAGCTAAGGGCAAGTTCACCGCCGAAGACGTCGCTGCTGCCGCTGCACCATCCCTTCAAGAAATCGACTAGGTTGATCTTGATTAATCTACACCACTTTTGCCTTTTGCCTTCTTTTTGTTTGTTTGATATTACTGGTATTAATTTAGCAAGTAAATTAGTAATTTTTAGCGTTGTCCGTCAATTTAGAGGTAAACTAGTACCTATACATTTTCCTTGTTTGCGCTTTAAATTGGCAAGTTTTGTGTCTTACTCTTTGATCAAGTGGATTACCTAATTACTAAATTTTTCCCATTGAATTTTATATGAATCGATGGAAAATTATAATAGGGTCTTTCTCAAAAAATGCCCATGGTTTGGACTTCGATTTCATTATTTGGATTAACTACTTGAATTGACAAGATTTGTACGTTGAATAGATCAGTAGTGCAGGGTAATCGTAATGTTTGTATTTCTTATTTTTTTTTTTATTGTAGTGAGGTTCTAACTTGAACTGGTTGAAGACTTGGTTTGTGAGTGCATTTTAGACTTTCAAAGCCGAATAGTATGAACAACTATGTATTTAACTATTTTTATAGCTTTTTGCTAGCTTCTTATTCTGGACAAAAAACATTGACTGAAAGTATTGAGAAGATAAAGAAATATGAGATATCACGACTTTATGAATCACAAGGAAAGAGGGGAGAATGAGGAGGAAAGGGAGGGCAGATCAATAAGTCTAGCTAAAGAGGGATTAAATAGGACTGAAGCTTGTTTCAGGAACATTTTCCCACTCTTATAAAGTTCTTGTTACTCGTCCAAGAATGAATACCAGTTAAAATGTCATTTCTGTCGGTATGTTGACATTTACTAGAATGTAGGTCACTTCTTGCATTTAACCAAACATGGGTTGTGTGTAGACATGGTATGTTCTTTGTGCAACTGATACTGGTGATTGAGTGGTTCGGTCAGACAGTATTTGGCACCTGGATATAGTGAGTCTGTATCCCTTACCCACAAGATGCCACCCACATTGTTTTCCGAATCCACGGTACAATCCCATAAACGGCAACATACAAGAATGAAGCGTATTTGAAATATGTGGCTATAGATGTGTTGGAGTCAATGTAGGTAGTGTCTTCTTGGTAGCAAATCCAGTATTGGACATAGGACTATTGCATGATTCTTCTTACACATTAGCCTACTGAGCATTCAAGGTTCAAACTCAGTTCTGCAAGTATTGCATATCCTGCTACTGTTGGTTATTTTTGATTTTCTGAAAACAGTAGTTATCAAATTTACAATGTGTTTTGGCTTGAGATCTGTTTTAATTTCAAACATTTGCAAGTGAGTCTGTGATAATTTTTACTGTGCAGACTCGCACATTTTTTTTTGGGGGGGGTACCCCATTGTGTAGCTCAACAAAGCAAAAAAAATATTAGCAAATGGAAGAAACTAGGAAACTATTAGTTAGGTAATCTTGAAAAACAATTAATAAATAGGATTTTGAAAGATGACTATATGGGGGGTTTCATTGATTAAAATTGAATTTGTATGCCAATTTTGATATTCAAAGCATTTTTTAAGTAAAACAAGTTGTTTCATGTAGTTGAAGAAATTTGACTAATTACTATCAAATTAAAGTGTATAAGAAAGTGGAACTAGTTGAATTGAATAAAAGTAAACAAGAATCAAAATTTTGGAACTAGTCTCAATCAATGGTGTTCCTCTAGTGTTGGGGATTTAATAACTATACCCATATTTAGACCAGTCAGCTAAATTGAGCAGGTACCTTGCTATAGAATAATTCATTTTGTTTTAATTGTCTTTTCAATTATTAGGGAAGAAGGGCATGTGCAAACTGGTTGGTTAGTAAGATCTCCTGCTGGTTGTAAGGGAGACCTGGGATAATTCAACTTGTACCTGGTTTTGGGGGATGGACTACCCTGTTGTGTACTCTCTGTGGATAATGTAGGGTCAAAGTCCTAATACCCTGAGTTTTTATAAATTGACTTAACACACCTTGAGTTTTATAAATGGACTTAAATACACCTTTATCCTTGATTTTATTTCAAATTTTAAAAAAGAAGGGTTTCACTTCAACAGATGACTTGTCTATTTCAAACAGACAATTCAATATTGTCTTTAATGTGCATGCTATGTTCGTTCCAATATTTAAGGTCATTGCCCATGTTAAGAGGCCAGTAACCTGGAATCTTGGGCAGATGACTGGGGATGCAAAGTGGGTATACTCCCTTCAAATACCTGGGTATGCCTTTAGGTGAAAGCTGTAAATCCAAAACCATTTGGGAACCCATAATTGAGAAAGTTAATAGGAAACTGGCCTCTTGAAAACCAAGTACTTGTCGAAAGGGGGGAAGTCACTTTAATTAAGAGTGTTTTATCTTCCCTTCCCTGTTTACTATTTGTCTTTATTTCCAATTCCAGCTAGATGGGTTGCAGCTGGAAAAAAGAGATGAGAGGTTTCCTGTGGAGGCTTTGGAATGAAGAATCTAAGGCTCCGTTTGGTTTGTGGGAAGATTTAGGTGGGATGGGATGGGAAAGTGTAAAAATCTACTCTTCCATTGTTTTGTTTTATACATGAGAAAATAATAAGAAAACATTGTTTCAAGGAGAAGAGAAGAGAAGGTGAGGGAGAAGAAGACACTGTGTCTGCGACTGTATCTACGAACCCAGAAGAAGAAAGAGAAGAAGAGAGAAGAGAGGGAGGAAGGGAGTGTCTGCAAACCCATGGCAGAACTTAGATCTGTGTCTATGAACCCAGATCTGTGTCTGTGACTGTGTCTGAACCCAGAAGAAGAAAGAGAAGAAGAGAGGAGAGAGGGAGGAAGGGGGAGTGTCTCCGATCTGTGTCTGCAAACCCAGATCTGAGTTCTACCATGGCAGAACTTAGATCTGTGTCTGCAAACCCAGAAGAAGAAAGAGACGAAGAGAGGAGAGAGGGAGGAAGGGAGTGGCTGAGAGGGGGTGCTTCCGCCACTGCTCTGTTTCTAGGTTCGAACGGGGAAGGGTGCCGTCGTCACTGGTTTTGCTGAAAGAGAGAATGAACAGTGGTTTCTTACATTTTTCCACTGGGGTCGCACGGTTTTGGTGCGACCCCAAATCCATGATTTTGGGATCTAATATCCCACACTTTTCTCACCCCATCCCCCTCTTTCCCTCAAACCAAATATGAGAAAAGGGAATATTCCCTTTTTCTCATCCCCATCCCACAAACCAAACAGAGCCTAAATGTCCCCTGGTAAACTGGAAGGGAATCTGCTCATCCAGGTCCACGGCAAAGGGAGGTTTAGGCATAAGATCAGTGAAAGATGTCAACTCAGCCCTGCTAGGAAATGGCTATGTATATTCAACGACTGCACTGACAGTTTGTGGAGAAGATTATGGCTCTAGTAGCTGGGAGCGGGGGGCAGAGGAGGTAAGATCCCCCTATGGATGTTCAGTTTGGAAGGTTATCCAAAAATTTCGGCCTCAGTTCTTGAAAGGCATAAAATATGAAGTGGGAAGTGGTCATAGGGTACTTTTTTGGAAGGATTACTGGTGTGGGGATGGCCTCCTAATTACCCTATTCCCTACTCTGTTCGAGATAGCTGTAAATAAGGAAGCTTCAATGGCCGATTATATGGATAGGCAAAACGGTCAAATTACCTGGAACCCTCTGTTCAGGAGGAATTTGAATGGCTGGGAGGAGGAGTCTTTGGTCAACTTGCTGCAGATTTTGTATCTTGCCAAGATTCCGGGAACAAGGGAGGACAAAAGGAAATGGTTGTAAGAGAATTCGGCTCCTTCTCAGTGAAGTCTTTTTTTTAACTTCCTATCAAGGGATACCTCTCACTTTCCGAGTAACAGGATCTGGATCAGGCTTGTACCATCGAAGTTAGCTTTGTTTGTTCTGTAGTGCTGGATAAGATTCTAACTAAGGAGAACTTGGCTAGAAGAGGCATAGAAGGGGCAGATCTGGAATGCACATAATGGAAGTGTAGAGAATATTATGTGACTTCACTTAGGGTTTGGACTAGACTTCTAGAGCTTTTTGGAGTTAATTTATGCTTCCCGGCGGATGTGAAGGGCTTCCCTAGAGGCTTGTTTGTCAGGGGAGGACTCAGCAAGGCTGGAAAAGTAGCTTGGGGTATCCTCCCCGTTGCTGTTTTCTCGGCAGTGTGGGGTGAAAGAAATCATAGAATTTTTTAAGGGAGGCAGAAATCAAAAGAAGAGGTGCTCAACAGGAATATGGAGATGGTGTTTTCGTGGCTGACAAATCATCCACTTTTTAAAGAGTCCGGATCTGCTCCTCATAGCACGCCTCACACTCACCTCACAGTGTCTTGGCTGCACATCGGGATATTCATGGAGAGATGTTCCCAATACAGCGTGGGATGTGGCTGTGAGGTCGGTGTGGCGTGCTCAGTGAGGAGCAGATCCCAATTCCTTTTTAAAAAGACACACTCGTTCTTTTTTTGAACATGATTTCCTTTTTGTAAGGTCAGTGTTTTTTTTGGGATGTTTTGGAGGCTGGCTTTTCTGAGTTTTTTAAGCTCAGTGTACACATATATTTCAACTAAAGGATATGAAAAAAGATAAAAAATTCAAAAATTTTTTCAAGTATAAAAATACATAAAAACACACAAAAATAAGATAAACATCAGAAATTGCAAAAAAATACAAGTAAATTGGAAAAGACAAATATCTCGGAAAAATATAAAATTTGGATGAAAACAGAAACTGCAAAATACATAAAATGATAGAATAATAAAAAATCTATATATTATAGCAAAAAAGTAAAAGAAATGTAGAAAAACAGGAAAATGATAAAAATTCAAAAAATATTTTGTAAAAAATCAGAAACTGCAAAAATTCATATTAGAAAAAATCAAAAGTTTTTTCATTGCATTTTATCATTGGATAATATTCATATTAGATTGTGCCAATGTAAAAAAATCAATTTTTTTTTTTTATGTAAAATGAATATTTTACATTGTTTCCGCTTCGATAGTTGATTTTTTATTATAATACCTTGAAACAATGACAATATCAAGCTGAAACACAATGTATTATTCCAAAAGTTGGGCTCCATTATTTGAACATCTGAGACAGAGAGGGGTGGTGCCTGATGTGGCGTCTACCTTCCATGGATCTGAGGAGTTGGTGTAGTAGCCATCTTTAAGATCTGAGAGAGAGCGAGGCTGCGACGTCCGCCTTCCATAGATTTGAGAAATCGGTGCGGCAATCGGCTTTAATTGAAGATCTGGGCGAATAGATCGGCTTTAATTGAAGATCTGGGCGAGAGAAGTAGAGAAGGGTGGTAAGCGGGGGGAGGGGGAGAGGGAGAGAGAGAGAGAGGACCTTAACCTTTTTTTCCTGACCTTGTGGGTCATTTGACCCATCTTGATCCACTATTCAAATGGGTGGGCCAAGTGGGTTGTGGTCAAAATTGTCAGCCCTAATTGTAAATTAAACGGTTTGAATCCTAGTCACTTTGTTTTAAAAATTAAGTAACTTACCATCTATCCACCATATTTAAGCAGATTAAAAATTGTAAAATATATTATATATAATATTTATATGATGCATAGTATATATATGTGTATGTCATGTCATCAAGGTTCGATTTTGGTCGAACTTATGACTCGTGAACCTCTCCCTTCTTTGGTTCTATGCCCGGTATGGTTCTCTTAACATTGATCTGACTTCATATCATTTCAAAATTTAAACCCAAGTTATTCATCCGAACCAAAAGCTTGTTCGTGGAGATTTCCCTTTGAGCTCTATGTAGACGTGTCCATGAAGGCACCATGACTAAGATCTTCGCTTTCTATATTTGTAGACTTGAAACCACCCTTTTTCCACTTATGCCACACAAGGTTTTAAAAGACAAAAGGTGTAGTCGAGGCATAGTAGCCCCAAAAGATGAGGCGTGAGCCAAATTAGAATGATAAAATAAAAGTTTATAAGCACAAAGTTTCATCAATTAAGCATTAAACAAAATAATAACAAACCAACTAACAATTATAATCACTTTACATTTCATGTTTAAAAATGCAAGGTTCTTAAATAATTCAAATGACCAATTTGAAAAAAAGGAAACAATGAAGAATCATCCATCTTATATGTGTGATCATTTAATAGTTTAGAAGAAAGAAAATAAATTAGTTAATTTGGTCTATGCAAAAAAATCAGTAAAAAGAAAATAAATCCATTAAAAATAGAATTATTATAATAAGAAAAATCACTTGATATATCCAATTGTTTTTTCATTTTTTTAGCTCATAATTGTTGAAGCACTTCTTCCATTTTTAACTAAAAAAATGCATCAAATATGTTTTTTTTTTTGTATTAAATCGCTAAATAATCACAAATACTTGAAGCTTACACCTTTTTATGCCTCAAGCTATGCCTTGCACTGCCTTGAGGCAAAATCTGTGTGCCTAGCCTCAACGAGTAAGCCTCACCCCTCGAAGCAGCCTTTTAAAACAATGGCTGACATGACATATCATATTGGTCCAATGACCTCCAAAGGATTTAGAGTCGCCTAAACCCATCACAATCACGTCACAAGTCCATGGCACATGGCCCAGTTGATATATATCCCTTTCTCTGCGCTGAGGCCAATCACACAACTCAAGCACTCTCGAGTGCTCATAGTACTCGGTAGAAGTAGAACGCGAGAGCTCTGCTCAGTCACCCTCACCCAAAAATTGTCCAGACCCCAGAGCAAAGCAAGGCTCAAAGTATCGATACGGGCCGATACGCCGGTAGGCAGCCAATATCTCGACCCTTTTTTTAACTTTCACTTTTTTTTTTTTTTAGATTTTGGTTCAGAGGGGCCGGTTTAAGTCCCAGCTACCCTCTGAACCAGGCCCTGACCCAATACGGGCCGATAAGTAACGATTTTTTTAACCTTGCTCCAGAGGGATGCCTAGACAAATAGCCCTCTGTAGGTCAAACCACAACACCGACACAAGGCGACAATCTGTCGTAAATGTAAGCAAAAAGCCAAAAACCAATCAGATATGCAAGTATAAAAGTATAAAACCAACCAAATAGCATCAGGCATGAGTTTTAAGTCTCTGACTCGACCCCTGGTTGAAGTTGAATCAGCATTACGACGGCTAGTTCGCCCCGTATTGTCATATCCGTCGAGTAATAACGCATAATTTAGAAATAGGCTCTTTATTTAATAGAGAAAATTGAAAAAGCTTAAAACTTAAAACAGAGGAAGACTAGGGATGAATGGAAAATATTTGAAATATTGATAGGAAAACTACATCTCCTGCCGCAACGAAAACTGCAAGAGCCCTGACCTGTACACAAACTGCCACCCCAAGAGTATCTATTTTCTAACAAGACACAGCTCAGCAGGGAAACGAAAACTAGACAACACCAACCATATCAAGTAGTCGAGCTTGTGCAACGGAAGCAAGCAGCCCACAGGCTCAATTCTTAATTGGAGGCGTTTCTCCTTGCAGCATAAACACGATAGGCAGCCAGTCCAACAATAGCAACTGCAGCCCCAACTGTTTTCATGGAACAGAAAACTGTCAGGAAAAGAGACTGAATAAATGCCGAATAAAACAAAGTTGACAAACATGTTAAGGCAACTGCCACTATCTAACTTAAATTGATCATGCTAGCCAAATATAAATAATCCCATGGAAGAAACCATGTGAAGGCCACGAGATTAATGGGAAAACCAATGGGATAACATCTAAATATCTGATAATAAGTTCCATTATAGGGAAAGTAATAAACAAAAAGCAAAACCAAAAACAAAACAAACACTACAAGGACATTTCGAGTTTAAAACAACTAGGGCCCAAGAACCTAGTACATAAAATGGGTCAAAATAAACGTAAACGGTAAACATAATGGGGGTTATAGTATGTGTTTCAAATGGTTATGGCTCAAAAATGCAATATTAAAATTGAAAAATATATAATCTGGTATTTGGGTGTCAGTGTCACTATGGTATTCCTTGGTTTAACTCCCCAGCAGCAGCATGCTACAAATAAGGCCATTACCCAATGTTGGTCCCAGCCATCTGGGGTCTTGGGAGGAATGGACTGGATACAGACATGACAGTACGTTTCTTTTGCAAAAAGTGGCCACTCCCAGATCATGTTAATAAACAACTTATGAATTACTTCAAAAAGAAAATCTTAATAAACCTTCAAGTTTTATCATTTAAGATTGATACCAAATGTTTTGCACATAACAAGCTCTCTATTCAGAAAATACCTAAAAAGTGATTAATCTTTTTTTATTGGTTTATTCTACTTTATATTCTTAGCTTGACAAGTGTTTAATATTTTTTCTGATTAATGTTTACAAGTGTTTAATCTTCAACAGAGTGAATTTTCATTCTTTTGCTTATACTAAGTTTTAAACATAGTTATCAAGGCACCCTTTGAGGCTCACCTCGCCTAATCGCCATGCAGTTTTGTACTTTCTATTATAGATTACTTTTTATTCTTTATTTTTTTGAGATTATAATTATAAAATAGACATTATTAAACTAAAATATTCATTTTATGTGTTTATATACTAATGTCTTTATTATTTTCTTATTTGTTAGGGTTTAATCAACACAAACATTGCTAAATGCTGTACTTCTTTTTCTTTTCTTTTCTTCTTTTCCTATAACAAAAATAAGGGTTCAGCCCCAATATTTTTTGAATTTTCTTTTCCTTCTTTTTCTTCTCATGAATATGTTGATTTTCCATACTTTAACATGAACTTTATACTTTTCATATGAAAATTATGAATAACTATTAAGGAAATCTGGTTATGGTACCTAGGGGACTACCCTAGGATCTATGCTTTTTACATAAAAAAATCCATGCCTAGGAGACTAAGCGATAAGATGCCCCCCATCATCATAAAAACTCAAATTATTTTGTGGGATGGGGGGTGCAGTAAGGGAGTTCTAGATGGAGCTTTAGTAAGAAATAACAAAGAATAAGCTCTCTTTTCTTCTGTTAATAACAAGGCTTCAAAGAGCCTAAAGCTTCCAATATTGGGTAGACTCAAGTTCATTGCACAAAAGCATTACTGCAAAATCTCTCTCTCTATATATATAATGTTAAAAAAGTTACAAAATACTACAAATCCAAACAAATAATCTACCCTTCCAAAAAGCACCAAGATGATAAAAAGGGAAAAATTATGGCAAGGTGTATGAAACATTGCTGAAGCTCTTCAGAAAATTAGAAAAATGTGGAAATGAAACTATCTTTCTAAAACCCGAAAACAATCCAAATCATTTTGGATACGTTCTAAGATATCCAACTGATAAGATCCCAATGACAAGATTATTATTATTTTTCTTTAAACCATAAACCAACAAACCTGAGACAAACATGAGAGAGCGATTAACAAGCTGATGATAGTGCTTGCGGTTTCTGCCAGCTTCAGTCTCTGGAATGCTCAAATGTGGGTGCTCCGCCGCACTAATAATCCTGCGGAATATACTATTAAAATCTCCTAACTTCATGCTAACTGGGATGGGCGCTTCTATTCCCAAGTCTTGGCTAACCTATAATAACAGAATCACAATCAAAGAAAATTATTAGAGATTCTAGGTAACTATATCTTCCAAAACTAATTGTCATAGCAATGCGGCTTCGGCAATACCGATTTAATAAGCAAGGTAAATATTATAGATACAGAGACTTAATATTCAGTTCAAAACGAAGAGAACCAAAAAAGATGGAAAAGCAAAGGTAAAACCAAAAACAAATGACAAGGCATCAGAGGCTGGGAAACAAAGGGGATATAAAAATAATTAAATGAAAGAAAATCCAAAAATCAGTAATCTATCCTTATGACCACCTGCAACACCTGCATGAATGTATGCCAACAAGCTGGTGTAACTATTATTTGTTCTATAATGCTAAGATCTTGAAAATCAGGGTTCTTAACAAACTTGATAACCTTTTATCATATGGATGATAAAAGAATAACTATGGGAAAACATGATTTTTTTTTTTGCAAAGAACAATACATAGTCAAAATGTAAGCATGCTGAATAGGGGATCTCATTTTCTCATCATTACAGATCTGAATTCGGAAGAACAAAGACATCCATGACAAATTAAATACCCTTGTAGAATCTTGTATAGCCATTGGATATGGATCAAGGTCGTCTTTAGCTGCAACAATAAGGCAAGGCACCTCAAAGCCACTATCCTCTCCATGGCTAGCAACATCCACAAGTAATTCTGTAGCTCTCCTCCAAGAAGCTTSATCAGAACTAAAATTGCAGACAACATTGTAGGTTATTACTAACAAAATAAGAGGAAAATGTGATTAGAGGAAAAGAAACCGTTATCACCAAGGGAAATTAAAATAAAGGAAGCAAAATAAAGTTTGTCATCGAAACTAAGTCCAATTACACTATTGAGAAATATATCATTGGTGCAAATGTCTCAACTCTCAAGTGTCTTGTCAAGTCAGAAGAAGGATGCAAGCACGCAAAAAGGGTGGCACACACACATACACATACATATAATTAGCTTGCTTTAGCCACTCAATTTAGTAATTATTATTGAGGTGGCGTTTGATAAATCTGAAAAGTTAAAAAGATATTATTCAGGTCTGAAAACTGAAAAGAAGAAATGATTTTCAGATTTTCAGAGGTTCTGAAAAGATAAGATCATTTGAGTTGGAGCAATTCTCCAACATCTGAAATTGTGAAGTTTACTATTTTACCCTTAGAAATCGACTGGTTGATAATATTCTAAATAATAAAAAGAATACTAAATAAAAATAGTATTCTATTAATAAACAAATATTACATTTTTTGAAATAAATATTTATTTATTATTTAACTAAATAATATTTATTTATTATAACTAATAATAAATAAAAAATATTTAAATTATTACTACTACTACTACTACTATTATTATTATTATTGTTGTTGTTAAATAGATGACAATAATGAGGGCTATAATGTCATTTTATCACATCTGAAATGTGTCTGATTTTGGTAAGACATGAAACCAGGTCCTCTAATCAGACCTCTAATCGGACCTTAACCCAAATGCCACTGGCATCTGAAAAGCAAAATTTTCAGACTTCATACGTCTGAAAAGTGTAATCAAACACCGAGTCTCATCAATTTGCCCTTTAAGAAAACAGTACATTAAATTCCACATTATTTATTAGTAAAATAATTGATTCTTCATTTTTCTCAGCAATACAATTACACCTAACCTTTTCCTCCCAAAAAAGATTATTCTCATAATTTAACACTGCATATGGCATAAAACAGAACAGAATAGCGAAACAGGATTCATGCAGATGACTCCATATAGTTGGAACATGAGTCACATATTACAGTCAGCAGTAAAGAACAAATAAATCCAATAACCAGACCAGATAAGAGTCACCTATCATGGACAAATAATGCTATGTCACAAGCTGCCAACGACTCCTTTTTAGACAGCAAACCTTTTACTTCATCTTCTGGAATCTCCCGCAATACCAAGGTTTTTTTTACTCCCTTCAAAGGCAGGAACATATCCACCATGTTAGCCAAATGACTTCTGTAATATATATATGAGATAGATAACAGGAAATGTTTCATTAATGGAAAACACATGATTTTAGTAACATATAACAAGCCAACATAGAGAAAAAAAGGTGGAAACACTTAATTTGAATACAGAAATGAAAATGAAAAAAACAAAACTGACTTTCCATATCCTGCATAATTATGGACTATGGATTTAAAGAAAAAAACTTATGACTGCAATGACAGCTTCAACCATAAATAGTTCTTTCCATGTTTTGAATGTTACATAAATAGTTCTTTCCATAAAAAAAGCATCAGTCCGGCTCTCCAAAACCAGTAAAACCAATCAAATATTCAAATCTTCAAAATGGTATGGCACTAAATATGTTGCTATTACTCAGCAAAAAATAAATTTCCAATATAAAAAAAGAAAGAAAAATAGAAAACTGAGCCAATGATTTTAAGAACCAAAGTTCCATTTATTTGATCCCTAGAACCAACACAGCATAGGGGTGAAATTTCAGCATTGCAGGGGAAAAACAAATCATTTTTTTCTTTGAAATATGAAAAGTACTGTTAAAGACTTAATATATCAGAGCCCAAATATCTTTTTCTTTTGGCAAGAAAATAGGAAATACTTTTTTTAAATGGTAAATGTTAAGTTTATCAGATTGTGAAAAAATAATGATAAAATGTACAATACTGTATTTAGCAATGGACTAATCAACTTTCAAGCCTTGAATGAGGGCTGTGAGTGGAGCAGGCAACGAAGGTGGAGAAGTAAACTTCGTGACATCCTCAAGTTGGAGAAAATCTCTGAAAGTGGAGGCTAAGGACTTTCTGCTTGAGGAGATGAGAGTCAAGGGGAGCCTCAGTTTGAAGGTAAGAGAGATGAAGTTGGCAACAGTTTTGATAGAAGGTCCAGAGATGGTGGAATGGCTCAAGGACTTTATGGTCGAGGCTGCAGCAAAGGGAAAGAGACCAAGCTGGAAAGAAAATCTCACTTTGACAGCAGGAAGGTATGTACTGGAGTGCAAGAGAAATACAAGAGGATCCTTCATTGCCCTTTCTGAGTTTTTTGCCAAAGGGACAAAACAAATGGTGTGCTTTCCTGAAGGTAAAAAGAGTCAAGGATGGCAAAGGGTAGCACCAGAGTTGAATGCTATTCTTAACCACTGGAAGATAGGAAATCAGGAGGTTAAAGAAGTTGAAGCAGCAGACACCCCTCTGATTTTCTGGGCCTTATACAGGACATCCCAGCCATGGTGCACAGAACAACCAACCCTACTGTCACTATTATCAGGAGGAAAGATTATTGGGAAAGCATGCTAGTTGTTGAAGCCAAGAGACCAGTCTCCGATTGGAAGGAAGTTGCTAATCTTGTGCAGTGTAAGTTAAAACTTAGAAACACTTTCATACTAACCCCCTTTGATAGCATTAAAGCAGTGCTCGACCCTCTTAACAATGTGGTAGAAAGTACAACTCCGAGTTTTCAAGTGGACTCCATCCTCAAACTCTAAAATTTTTTCAGTTGAAGATGGGATGGTAGTTAGGGTAATTGGGCTGTCTTTCCATCTTTGGACCCATGAGGTTGCAGCCTCCATTGCAGTCTTATGTGGAGCTTGTCTTGATGGGGAATTTTGGGGGGACCTTTGATAAGGAGCACTTCTCTTGAGTGGACTTAAACCAGAAGAGATCCCCAGGAAGGTAACTTTCTATGTGGATGAATTGTTTATCTCAGTGTGGTTGGTTTCCTCCATTGAAGTGGCATTGTGGAAGGAGGGGAGAAAGGAAGAAGATGAGAGGGTGGAAATTTGGGATTAGAGAATCAGTGGTTGGACAGAGATTACACAAAAATGGATAAACAAGCCTTATAGGCTATTCGAAAGTTAATGGAAATATGGCAAATGAAAGACGTGTGGCTGAAGAAACTAGACTGGCACCTAGAAGGACCTATGCTCAAGTGACTATGGATGGTGCCAAAAGAGGGGTTTTGAATGGTTTAAACAGCTCAATGGTAAAAGAAGGGAGAAGGAAGAATAAAACGGATGGGTTGGTATTGAAAAGGAGTGAACCACGGGGTCAAACCAAAGGAGGGGTTAACTCAAGGATCACGTGCCGGCCCAAGATGAGACCTCTGGGTCTAATGTACTGCCGAGACCCATTGCTCCTGAGATTGGAGCTGGACCATTTAAAAAGATTTCTGGGTTGATTAATGGGCTGGGGGTAGAAGGCCCATCTGCACCGAAGGCACATGATATCTTAAAGCCTTACGTGAGGGAGAGACAGTCTTTACCAGATGGTATCAGCCATCCATCATCGTCCTCAAAAGTGCAAAGCCTCGATCGAGAGCCTTCTTAGAACGGCAGTTCTCTCCAGTGGATTCCAACCAAAAAACTCAAAGGACTCTCGGCAGATCGATGTAACCCACGCAGTATTAAGTGCAGTGAGTTTGAAAAGATTGAGCCGGATTTCTCAACGGAGGAAGAAGTAATATCTGACTCTGAAACTGAGAATACTGTTAGTCTGGGAAGTGTGGATTTGCAGCAGTCGAAGGATTTCTATGAAGAGGATAGTCTAAGCACAGAGCTGTTGTTCTTAGAGGATGCTGTGTGTGATCCCTTAGCAGAGGTTCAGGGGAACTTTTCTCAAGTTCATATGTCACCAAGAGATGCAGTGAAATTAGCAGAAGTTACAGAGGATTTGCAGGGAACACCCAACCCAACAACAAGTGATCCCTATCCAGAAGTGCAGACCTTTTGCACCAATGAATTAGAGGAACAGGATCACTCCGACTTTTGAACACAGTCAGCGGATAGGGGAAAACACTCTAAGGTGGACTCGGATGCCATGTTTAACACAGTATTAATAGATCCTGGTTCACTTCAACAGCTCCCTCAGGTAAAAGGATTGGGCCTAGACCCAATTCCAATCTCTGGAACCTCAGTTCCCCTATCCTTTCAGTCTTCACCCTTTGGGCCAGGTATGTTTATCAATTCAATTTTGGGTACACAACCACTGGAGGAATCTCTAAGATAGTGGGAAGTGGTTGTGTAGGGGGAGGGGGAGTTTTACCATTGGAAAAGAGGCAGGAGGAATTAGAGAGAATCTGGGGTCAAATCTACGATTTTCTTGAGGAGTATGAGAAGCAAGAGGAATTAATGGTGGAAAACTCTGAACCAATGTTTTAAAACGTGGAGGCGTCACGTAAGGCGTTCCACTACCTAGAGGCGTGAGGCGTACTTCAGAACGCAAGAGGCGTAAGCCTCCCCAACACAAGGAGGTGTAAGCCTCCCCAACACAAGGAGGTGTAAGCCTCCTTGAGAGGAGGAGGATGAAGAGGAAGGGGGGATCTCATTTTTTCTTTATTTTTAATAAAAATCTTTTATATTAAGAAGAATAAGAATGCATAACAATAGTTGAAAGGGGGGGGGGGGTTCTTGTCGAAGTAGAGGCGAGCGAGCGAAGGGGCAAACCACTTTCTTTCCCCTTATCTTTTCTTCTCTTCCCTTTTCTTTTCTTTCCTCTTCTCTTTTTTCTTCTCTTTCTTTTTCTTTCCCTTTCCTTTCCTTTCCTTTCTTTTTTTTTTTCTTTTTTTTCCTATCTTTTTATACAAGATGTGCATGAGGCACATGAGGTTTACGCCTCTAGCATGCCTCATGAAAAAAGCGCATGAGGCGTATGCTTCTTGCACCTGAAGGAAGGGGAAAGAGACAGTATGGTTAAAGGTTGTGAAAAGGAAGAGGACTTATCTTGCAAAAAGGAGAAAGAGGAGTAATTAGAGAGGATATGGGAACTAATATGTGCTCTCCTCGAGGAGTACAAGAAGAAAGAAGTTTCCTTGGAGGAAAATGCAAAAAAGGTCGGGAAAATAAAAGTGCCTAGGGGAGCATCAAGGAAAGCTTGGGGTAGAAAACAGCCAGAGGAAAAAGAAAAGAACTGAAGTGGAAAGATTGATCTCAGACATTGAAGAGAACATCGAGTTCAGTGGGAGAGGGGAGAGAAGGAAGATTTCCAAGTAATGGGTTGAAACTCTAGGTGGGCTCTCAAACAATTGCTCTTATGAAAACTATTAGCTGGAATTTGAGGGGTTTAGGCAGCGCAAGGAAGAGAAGGCTAATTAAGGACCTCTTTAGAAGAGAGAGGCCTGATATTGTGATGATACAAGAGACCAAATTAGCTGAAATTGATAGAAGGTGGGTGAGAAATGTTTGGAAGAGTAGAGGAGTAAGATGGGTTTCCACACCTTCTTGGGGGGCTTTAGGGGGTATAGTCACTTTTTGGAGAGAAGATTTTGTGGAGGCCGTGGAGTTAATAGGTACTTTTTCGGTGTCTTCGAAGTTTAGGATGGTGGAAGATGGTTTCACATGGGCGTTAACCAATATGTACAGGTCAAACAGCTATAGAGAGAGAAATGAGTTTTGGGGGGATTTCAATGTATTTCGATTTACTGATGAATCAAATAACTCACAACAGTCCATCACTACCAGCATGAGGAAGTTCAATGATCTCATTAATAGTTGTGAGTTGAAGGAGATTCCCCTTTTACAAGCTCAGTTCACTTGGTCCAACTTCCAGAATGTTCCAATTTGCTCAAAATTGGATAGATTTCTCTTTAATGAGAGTTGGGAAAGTCACTGGCAAGGTTTGTTGGTCAAAGCTTTGCCCAGAGTCACCTTCGATCATTGCCCTATTGAGATAGGGCAGGAACCTTTAAGTCATGGACCGAGACCTTTTAGATTTGAAAATATGTGGTCAACGCATCCAGATTTTGTGAACAAGGTTGAGTGGTGGAGAGAAGAGAGGGGGGGGGGGGTGAGATGGAAAGGGGTGAAATTCCACAAGAAGTTGAAAAGACTGAGAGCAAAATTAAAATAATGGAATAGGGATCAATTTGGGAAGGAAGTAAAAGCTAATATAGTGACCCAAATTGAGGAACTAGATTTAAAGGAATATCAAAATACCTTGAATGAACTAGTGTTTTAAAA